CGGGGCAGTGCATGATTTGATGAAAAGCAGCTTTATTATTGGTTTTGGTGAGAAAAACTTTTGTTGGGGAAAAAATTAGGTCTAGAAATCAAGAGATCCAGTATTTGAATTTTATCCTCTGGAAATAAGCATGGGTACAGATAAAGCTTAATTGGAATTGTGCAGAACAAGCAGATTGTAGTGTTAGGTTCACAGAAATGAGGGTAGGGTCAATAGCTGGCCCTGGATCAAAACTGACCTTGGAGGAGTTCTGGCAGGAGATGGGGCTGAAATAGACACTAGACTGGGGAGTGAACATTTTAAGAGGGATGAAAATTTTGTGGCAAGGCAACATTCTTAGGGATTATTCTGTTACTCTGAAATTGGCACCATATCATCTTTTATCATTGATAAATCTGTAGGTGACATTTAAGATTCTCCTTTTCTTGAAGATAGGAATCTATGAGCTGCCCATCTCATAACACCTGAAAAATCTTTTAAAATTTATATATTTGGGTTCTTTGACAGTTTAATTTATAATAGATTAAATTTTAAGGTAAATTAAATCTTCATTTTGTTCATTAAAATCAAAACAGTTCAGCCATCCTTACATTTCTCTCCTTCACTGACCTCCCTAAATGCGCCACATGCTTAATCCTGCCTAAAGAGACTAGCTTTACTGTTAGAAAAATATTCCTTTGTATGAACACTGTAGATAGACACTGGTGTGTTAGTCTGCTTGGGTCTTTTCTCACAATGATACAGAAAACAATTTCAGGGGGAAGAGAGTAGGATAATATAATGAGTTTTGAAACCCTGGAAAACAGTTTCCCTTCTTACATGTTTTATTTCCATATTTTCCTTAACAAAATATTGAAATAACAGGAGGAAGAACTCTAAATGACCCGGTGATTTTATTTTATTTATAGGAAACTTTGATCCAAAAGCCATGAATAATTTTTATGACAACATAGCACCTGGCCCAGTGGTACCACCCAAGCCATCTAAAAAAGGTGAGTAGTGCCTGGCTTAGTGGTTGAGCATCGACCTGTGATCCAGATCTAGGTTGATTCTGGGTCAGGGCCATGTCCCAGTTGTANTCACTGGCGGCGTGGCTCAGTGGTTGGGCGTCAACCCATGAACTAGGAGATCACGGTTCGATTCCCAGTCAGGGCACATGCCTGGGGTTCCGGCTCTATCCCCAATGGGGGGTGTGCAGGAGGCAGCCAATCACTGACTCTCTCTCATCATTGATCTTTCTATCTCTCTCCCTCTCCCTTCCTCTCTCTCTAAAATTAATAAAAACATTTTTTTTAAAAAGGTCAATAGGGAAATATCAAAAACATCATACAATAAATATAAAAATTTTTTGGTAGTTCACATTTATAGGTGAAGAAATTTCCACTAGAGATATTCATTAACTTGTTCAACATAAAAAAGTCAGCATATTGATGTTATTGTGGCAATAGTAAAACATCCCCAAACTTTAAAATTAACTCCTAGAATTATTGTCAAACGTAATTAAATGGGATATGTAGTTTAAATAAAAATAAATAAGGAAATAAATATATCTTGATTGATTGGAGAGGAAGATAGAAACATCAATGACGAATCATTGATCAGCTGCCTCCTACTGGAGATCGAGCCCGAAACCCGGGCATGTGCCCTGACCGGGAATCAAACTGCAATCTTCTGGATCCTAGGTCAACGCTCAACTGCTAAGCCACGCCTGGGCATATAATTTATTTTTTTACGCTGAAGCTGTATTATATAGTTAAAATTTACCCAGCACTGTAAAAACTATAATCCTAAAAAATAATTCTTGCAAAATAATGAGAATTATAAAGGTCTTGTGTTAGAATGGAAAGTTTGATCTGTAGTAGAGCTAAGATTATGTGACAGGCCATAAAAGAATCCTTGTGTACCCAACAGGGGAGCATAACAGTTAGATCCTATATAAATCCATGATTTAGGGAAATCACTTTTGAATAATTGTTAAATCATTCCCATGTAATATTAAAGGTATCAGATCTCTTTTCCTTACTTTTACGTACCAGATGTTTAACTGGCATTTCAGTTATCTTAAAAAATTAATTTGAATTAAATTTAAATGAGTCATTAAGTTTAACCTTTTTCTGCCCCAATCTTATTAATAACCCATGTTATTTTATAAATATAATTCTCAAGACTGAACTAAAGTATGCATTTCAGATTTTTTTTTTTTAAATTGATTTCAAAGAGAGGAAGGGAGAGGGATAGAGAGATAGAAACATCAATGACGAGAGAGTCATTGACTGGCTGCCTCCTGCACACCCCCTGCTGGGGATTGAGCCCAAAACCCAGGTATGTGCCCTGACCAGGAATCGAACCTCAATATCCTGGATCATAGGTCGATGCTCAACTATTGAACCACACCAGCCAGACTGCATTTCAGATCTTAATCCTTAAGGCTTTAAGCAACTCAAAATAGATTGATCATGAAGACATATACAATAGTGGAGAATGTCTTGGAGGGGATCAATGGGGGGAAAAAGGGGACATCTGTAATACTTTCAACAACAACAAAATTACCTAAGGGTGTAACATTTAAAAATCTCATTAGAATTATTATTAATCAGGGAGTGTGTAAATGTTACCTGACCTAAATTACTTAAATTTTGGTTGAATAACTTTCAGTGTACTTTAAAGCTCAGTACAGAGTTTTGTGTTTCATTTATAGGTTACAAGACAGTACCTGTTGTTCCTTTTATTGTTTAATACTATCATGGATGTTTCATCTAAAAATGGCACAAAGAAGAATCTTAGTGGATAACTACCCAGTACCAGATTTGGTGCTGTGGCAACATTATATACAGCTTCAAGTTGAAAGTCACTGGGTTATATATCACTGATCGCTTTAACCATTTGGATTAGTAATATATGAGTCTGTATTTTTTTGCCTGAATAGGTCTACTAAGGAAACATTACTCACTGGTAATCCAACAGATAAACTTAATTGATTCAAGGGCTGCCATGGAGCAATCACCCTATTTAAGGGAGTATGTTAGAAAATTGTGATCTGGGCCCTGGCCAGTGTGGCTCAGTTGGTTTGGCGTCGTTCCATGCGCATGTCCAGTTTGCAGGCTCAATCCCTGGTAGGGCGCATGCAGGAGGCAGCTGATCTATGTTTCCCTCTATCTCCCTTCTCCCTCCCTCTTTCTCTCTACAAAAAGAAAGAAAAAAAACCCAAAAAAACCCCAACTGCAATAAAAAAAAAAATCTTAAAAAAAGTTGAACAAGGACGAAGTTGGTAAGAAATGGTGCATGGACAGTATGTCTGCCTTGAGCCACCTCATTAGCATAAACTTTCAGGTATGGTCTGAGGGTCCCACCATAAATAACAAGGACACTTCTATCACTTGGTAAACTTCAAGATTTTAGAGGTTATCTCCCAGGAGCTGGGGACAAAGCTAGACCCCTCTTTGGGCAACGTCAGATTCTTGAGTACACAATGGTTAAAGCAGTGTTTAGAAGGAAATTTATAGCTTTTAATGCTAGTACAAGAAGATCTGAAATCAGTGACCTAACATTCCACCTTAAGAAACTAAAAACTAGAAGGGAAGATAACAAAGCCAAAAGTTTGATCTCTGAAAGACGAAAATCAATATGCTCTAAAGTCAACTGATTATGAACATTTTTATGTCAAACGCAACACCTAAGAGGAAACTGACACATTCATTGAAAAATGTAACCTACAAAACTGAAAACAAGATGAAAATAGGAAATATTCATAGCTTTACATCCATAAAAATTGAATCTGTTTAAAAAAATTTTTCCACAAAGAAAACTCCAGACACTTAAGGAAGAGATAATATTAGTCTTACACAAACTCTGAGAAAATAGAGGAAAAAGTAAAGCTTCCCCATAACCTGGTAAAGACATTACCTACCCACCACTCCCAAAAGAAAACAAAATTATAGATTAATACCACTCATGGATGTAAAAGGAAAAAAGCCCATGATCCTTGCACTAGATGCAGCTAACTAAAAAACATCTGACATTTTTAGCAGTGATTGCAGATGACATAATTATTTGAAAAGAAAATCTAAGGGTACTGAAAAACAACTGTCAAAACTAATAAGGGAATTTAACAAGGTCTTGGGATATAAGTTCAGTATACAGAAACCATTTTTATCTATTTTATTTTCCAATGGTTTGCTAATACATATTCACAGTACCATCAAAAAACATGACCCATGAGTAAATTTAACCAGAGATATGTACATTGGAAACTATAAAACATTGCCAAAAGAAAATTAAAGACCTAAGTAGAGTAATATAACATTATTTCATGATTAAATCAGTATTGTTAAGGCTACGTATTCTTCCCATGGTGATTCATAGGTATAATGCAATACCAATTGTAATTCCACTAGGCTTTTCCTTTTTTTGGGGGTAGAAATTAATAAACTGATTCTGAAATTTATGTGGAAATGCAGAGGACTTAGAATATTAAAACGATCTCAAAAAAGAGCAAAGTTGGAAGTATTATGCTAACCAAATTTAGGACTTACTATAAAGCTATTCTCACATAGGGATAAAAAAAATAACTGCAACAGAATAGAGAACCCAGGTGCAGACCCTCACTTACACTGCCATTTGTCTCTTTGACAAAAGCACCAAAGCAACCAATGGAGAAAGGAAAGTCTTCTCAATAATCAGTGCTGGAAGGACTGGATACCCTTGTGGCGGGGGGGGGGTGGTTTTGATCCTTATACTATACATAAAAATTTGAGATAGGTCATATACACCTCACTGTAAGAGCTAAACTATAAAGCTTCTAGAACATAGAATATCTTTGCAACTTAGATGTAGAGAAAGATTTTCGGACAGGACACAGAAAGCAATGGAAAAAAATTGGTAAGTTAGCCTTTATTGAAGTCTCCTGCTCATTAAGAGACACTACACTAAGAAAGTGAAAAAGGGTTGCCCTGGCTGGTGTGGTTCAGTGGTTAGTGTTGCCCCCCCGAAAGGTCGCAGGTTCAATTCCCTGTCAAGGGCATGTACCTAGGTTGCAGGTTCACTCCCAACCCCCAGTCGAGGCTCATGCAGGAGGCAACCAGTCCATGTCTCTCTCACATTGATGTTTCTCTGTCTCCAAAAGAGCAATGGAAAAAAATATCCTCATGTGAGGATTAACAAAACAAAACAAAAAAGTGAAAAGGCAAGCCACAGATTTGGAGAAAACATCTATTGGGTAAAGAACTGGTATCAAGAATATATAAAGAACTTCTATGACAATAATAACCCAATAAAAAAGAGGGCAAAACATTTGAGCAGACACTTCACAAAAGAATGTATATAAATGGCCAAAAAGCACATGAAAATGTTCAACTTGAGTAGGCATTAGGGAAATGCAAATTAAAATATTGAGATACCACCTCACCCACCAGAATGACTTAAAATCCCAAATTTTGGAAAACAGTTCAGCCATTTCTTGTAAAACCATTCACCTGCTCTAGAACCCGTCAATAATCCATCTAAAGATTTAGCCAAGAGAATCTAAAGCATATGTCTACAAATGATTTGCTTTTTAGAAGATTCATACCATTCTTATTCACAATAACGCCAAACTAGAAATAGCTCAAGTGTCCACCAAACTGTGAATGGACAAACAAATTGATATAGGCGTACCAAATAATACTCAACAAAAAAACTGAATTACTGATACAGGAATCTCAACAACATAATGCTGAATGAAAGAAATAAAATACGAAAGAATATATACTACATGATTCTGTTTATATGAAATTCTAGCTAGAACAAGCTAAATTAATTTATGGTAAAAAATGTATGTGTCAGAACTGTGGTTGTCTCTGGAAGCTGAGGTTGGGGCATAACTGAGAAAGGTATGGATTGATTTTTCTGGGCTGATGGTAGTGTTCTAAATCTTGGTAGGAATTTGAATTATCCAGGTGCGTTTGTTAAAACTCCTCAAATGGTACACTTAAGGTTTCTGTATTTCACTGTATACATTTTACCTCAAAAATTCACAAAGAAATAAGGATCATTTCTTAGAAGTAAGGAGCCCATATACTCAGAGTTTTCTAGCAATGGTGATAGAATTTTTGCAGATGTTATTTGGCCTCTGTCTTTGAGACCCACACCATGTATTTGAGGTAGGAGGTTCTTGTTTGGTATATGTCTCAGCTGGGAATTGTGCAGGAATTGCATTAATATTCCATTAATATCTAGCTTCATCTAGCTCTCCTACAAGTACCTTTACACTAAAAAGGTCCTTTTCCATAGAACTTTTAATTCTAACAAAATTTGCTACAATTGATAGTGGATAGTCCTTTAGAGTTAGTTGTAATGCGATTCCAATGACAGTCTCTTAAATATGCAGCTGGATTTTGTAGATAGATGCTTGATGCTACAAAGACATGACTCCTACCCCAAGCAGCTTATACTCTACATACACTGTTTTAATAAAAAGTATACTAGAAAGCCCTCTAAAAATATCTTTACTATAAACAGATCTCTGCATTAGAAATCTAATTGAACTTTATATAATATATACTGTGCGTGAGAGTATAAATGATGCTGTTATACACCCTCTAGTTTTTAAACTTTTCACCTTTTTCTATTAAAATTTATAAATAGAATTTGATTAAATTCTGTAGTTCTTTAGGAAGCCTTTTCATGACAGATTTATAAAAGCTATTCGATTTTTTGCTATAAAGTCAAATTTGTTTTCTTTTAAACACAGATTCTCTCTTTTATTTTAAATATATTTTTTTAAATTTCAGAGAGAGAGGAAGGGAGAGGGAGACAGAAACATCAATGACGGGAGAGTCATTGATTTGCTGCCTCCTGCATGTCCCCTGCCCGGGGCTGAGCCCTAAACCTGGGCATGTGCCCTGCCCGGGAATCGAACCTCGATCTCCTGGATCTTAGGTCAATGCTCAACTGCCGAGCCACGCCGGCAGGGTCAGATTCTCTCTCTCAACTAAATTGGCCTTTTATGTTTACCTAGTTTGATGCAAATCATCTTGCGTACCACTTCAATTTAAAAAGCAAGTAAAATGTAAATAACGGTTAGAATAAATGTCTTGGGGTTATTACAGTTACATACTAGAAATCCAAATGGAATATAGACATTTTCCATCTGATTATCTGAATAATAAGTGTGATAATTAAGGAGAGAGAATGAGAGAGAGAATGAAAGATAGAAAGGGAGACAAATTTGCACTGGATATTGTAAACAGTACAGTGTGCATGTAAGCTCCTGTGCTGATTCAGAAAGCCCCGATACCCCCACCCTGTCATTGGTAACTCATAGTGGTGAGAGCACTGACCTTGGTGGCCCATCAATTGAGTGCTGTTCCTGGTTGTCTTGGCCACCTGACCTTGTTCTAATCCAGTTTGTGCACCAGAGGTGATCAGTGCTGTAAAATACACAAGCTAAGTAAGGGTCAGTAAGAAGGAGGCATGGGATGCTATAAAGTGCTTTACAAATCTAAGAAGTAGAACTTTACCTTAGTCTTTGGAGCCTAAGGAGAAAATTTACTCTGCTTTTGTTTACTCTGACAATGGAGTGCTTTAGTGCCTAAGCATCACACTGAGGATTCTGGAGCATTGATTTTCCAAAGGTGGGCTGTACTAGGGGAACTGCTTATAGGCTAAGAACTGATTAGAAAATGCAGGATATTTTTTTGGTTCTTAAATTTCTTGTTTGTACTTACTACAAAGGACTACTTACTAATAAACTATAAATTAATAGACAGTATTCTAGCAAGAAATTGGGATGTCTGCAGTCCATTATTGGAAAGTATCTGCTGGGCTTTTGTACAGGTAGGTAATTGGAATTTATGAAATGACTGGTGAGCATGTATTGTCAGTACATAGGATTATTTTGAATTGGTTCTGATTTTTCAAGTACTGCTATTCCTGTTCCTTAATTATAAAATGCTGTAGTTTAATGTTATTATTTTTTAATATATCTTTATTGATTTCAGAGAGAGGAAGGGAGAGAGAGAGATGGAAACATCAATGATGAGAGAGTCGTTGACTGGCTGCCTCCTGCACACACTCCACTGGGGATGGAGCCCGCAACCCAGGCATGTGCCCTGACTGGGTATCAAACCACGGTCTCCCAGATCCTAGGTTGGTGCTCAACCACGTAGTCACGCTAGCTGGGCTGTTATTATAATGGGTTCTTTGGTTAGCCTTAAATGGGCAGTTTGCTTTCAACCCATAATTTTCTAATAACTATTGCTTAATCAGGGAATTGCTAAAATATACTATCCCAGATTTTGCTTTCACTTTGACATTTCATTCCTGAGTTTGTACCCCGAACCCACTAGAAAGTGGGCAGTAGTAAAATAGGGCACGTGTCCCATGCAGTTAGAGAGGATGAAAGAGTCCTAAGAGCCACGACCCTGTATAGGCTGTAAAAGTAGCATTAAACATGGCATTTGCCCTCAAAGGGGACTTACGGGAATATGAGGTAGCAGAAGGATAACACTTAACCTGCATGCCCTGTGAAAATTTCTGAGCCTGACCATTCTTCTAAATGACTGGCTTGATCCCTTCTAACTGGCTTCACTTTTTCTCATGCAGATTCATTAGACCCCTGCACAGTTGAGAGGAAAGCCCGAAGAATTAGCGTGACCTCCAAAGTACAGGCAGACGTCCATGACACCCAGGCAGCAGCTGCAAATGGTTTGTACTTGTGTGTCCAGAGTTTGTGCAAAATGCCCAAAGACATGTAGAGCCATCATAAGTAAAGACTCACTTTTTTTTTTTCCATTTAAAAAAAATTACTCTCTACTGAGTTTCTAAGGCTGTGCTGTCCAACAGAAATGTTAGCCACATAATTTAAAATATTCTAGTAAACACATTTAGAAAGTAAACAAGTAAAATTAATATATATTTAAATCTAGTATATACAAGGTGTTATTTCAATATGAAATCAGTATAAATTGTGAGACATTTTACATCAAGATTTTTTT